ATGTATGCATGTATGTATGTACATGCACACATGTATGTGTGCATATGTATATGTATGTGTGTGTATATATATATGTGCACTTGTGTGTATGTATATGCACATGCGCGCGCACACACACACACACACCTACACTTACACACCTACCAACCAACCGTCCAACCGTCCAACCAACCAACCAACCAACCAACCAACCTACCTACCTACCTACCTACCTACCTTCCTGCCTACCTACCTACCTACCTACCTACCTAACTTCCTGCCCGCATACAGGCATGCATGCATACATATACAGTTCAATGCATACATAGCCACACATACCTGCATGTACAGGGGGCTCTATTGAAAGGCCCTTGGGGGGGTCCCGGAGTCGGGGGAACCTTGACCCTCAACCATAAAGCACCAAATATAGGGGGCCTTAATAACTACCGATATTATTTTGGGGGGTTCCTTATCATGACTGTAGTATAATATGTGTTCTCAGGGTGCCTTGCTATAGTTGTAGTATGAAATCTCCCCCCCAAAAACAAAACTATTCAAATTATTAAGCATATGACTCCGAACCTGTCACCACCGATCCTAACCCCGACACACTGAATCTTAAGTTCAAGATCAAATCGTTTTCCCCCGGACCCTAGACCTAGAGAATCCAACACCCCTTTATGAAGATATATACCTTAAATTATCGGGGCCTTAATATTATGATTTAAGAGGGATATTGGGTTCTCTGGGGACCTTGGACCCCGTGCCGCCGAGTCCTACAATTATAACGTTCATATCGGCATCCGATATGAAACCCTATGAGTCTGCATAAAACCGTATTCGCACTGGATCCGAAAAACCATGTTCCCAAAAAACCGTGTTCCAGAATCCATGTGCAGGATACCGTAGTCTAAATATCCGTTTACCAAAAACCATATTCTATATCAGACCGTCTCAAAAACCATCCCCCAAAACCATCTATATCCTGCCAAGACGCACCCTTTTCGAATCCGGTTGTTTGGCTCCCGGGCTTTCTGGATACGATTTTGCGAATACGGTTTTTTGGTCCTCGCTTTCTGGATACGGATTTTGGGATACGATTTCTTCGGCTCCGGTTTTCGGGATGCGGTTGTCTGGGGCTCCGAATAGGGATTCTGTGGCGTAAAAGCCACATTTTGTCCCCCAGACAACCGTATCCGAAAAACCGTATACCGAAAATCGGAGCCGAAGAAACCGCATCCAAAAAACCATATCCAGAAAGCCAGGACCCAAAACACCGTATCCGCAAAACCGTGCCCAGAAAGCCGGGACCCAAAAAACCGGATCCGAAAAGGGTATGGTTTGTGGTAGGCGTTTTAGACAACGATTTCCTGCGCGGGCTTCGGTTTTTTTGGGCACGGTTTTTCGGACTCGGTTTTTTGGACTCCGGATTTTGGAACACTGTTTTCTGCCTTCAAGGTTACTGGATAGGGTTTTTTGGATACGGTTTTGGGGAGAGGGATATGTTTTTCCTGATTCTTGTTGATGCCGATATGCACCTCATAATCCTACAAGACAAAGAACATGGCCAGACCAGCTCCCACTTCTACAAGCGCTATCACGGTTTAGAGTTTAGGGTTTAGGGTTTCTATAAGGCCCTACAACACCTTCATAGACTCCAGCTCCTGAATGAAAAGAGCCATTGCTTTCACACTCGCAGCCTCGATTTAGGTTTAGCTGCCGATCTTCGGGAAGCTCTGTCGCTGAAGGCACGCATCTAGTGACTAGGGATTCCGGATTAAGGGATGTGGGAGCCCATTAGATACATGCACGCAGCAACTACAAAAGCAAACCAACAGGCAACACGAAGCCGCAAACCCTAAACCCGATAAGCCCTAAACCCTAAACCCTAAACCCTAAACCCGATAAGCCCTAAACCCTAAACCCTAAACCCTAAACCCCAAGCCCTAAGCTCTGGGACATGTTCAGGTGGGTAGTTACCGCTATACGAGCCTTACAGAAGGTCTATATATACCTTATAGAAGCCTTGTAGAAGCCCTATATACCCTAAACTCCCCACCTGTAGCTTCCTTTAATAAGCCCCCTAAGCCCTAAGCTTAAAATCCCAAAACCCAAAGCTACACCCGAAACCCTAAACCCTAAACCCTAAGCTTAAAACCCACAGCCAAAGCTACAAAAAAACGACATTAATATACCCTAAACTCCCCACCTGTAGTTTCCTTTAATATGCCCCCTAAACCCAACGCTTAAAATCCCAAAACCCAAAGCTAAACCCTAAACCCCAAGCCCTAAGCCCATAAACCCTAAACCCTAAACCCTAAGCTTAAAGCCCAAAACCCAAAGCTACACAAAAAAACAACATTAATATACCCTAAACTCCCCACCTGTAGTTTCCTTGAATATGCCCCCTAAGCCCTAAGCTTAAAATCCCCAAACCCAAAGCTAAACCCTAAACCCTAAACCCAGAACTGTGACATAAACCCTAAACCCTAAACCCTAAACATAAAGCCCAAAACCCAAAGCTACAAAAAAAACGACGTTATGTCCCAAGCCCTAAGCCTCTAAACCCTAAACCCTAAAACCCTAAAACCCTAAAACCCAAAACCCAAAAACCCAAATCCCCAAAGCTACACAAAAAAAACGACCTTGTGTCGTTTTGGGAGGCCCAGGATCTCCTCGAGGAGTTGGAGCTGCAGCAGATCGCCGTGCGCCGCTTCGGCGCTCCAGTTTCTGAGGCATATGTTTTTTTGGGGTTTAGGGTTTAGGGTTTTTTGGGTTTATGTTTTTTTGGGTTGGGGGTTTAGGGTTTAGGGTTTTTTGCTAGCTGGGTTTTCTAGGGTTCTTTTAGATGTTGTGTGGTTTGTTTTTGTGGCGGGGCGGGGAGGTCATCGCTCCTGCGGGGGCTTTTTTTAGGGTTTAGGGTTCAGCAGCTCCGGATCGAGCGATCTCTAGTCGAGCTTTCACTATGGGACAAAATCCACCCACCCACGTCATGATATAGCTTAGTTCTAAGCTTGCATTCCAGACGATTACTTTTTTGGCCTTCTTACACAACACCGCCCTAAACCCTAAACACTAAACCCTAAATTTTAGGGTAACCCCTTAACCCTTAAACCCTAAACCCCGCTATGCTATAGTCATTAAGGGGCTTCGGAGTCTCTAAGAAAGCCCGTAGGTTCCAGCAGGCCTACGTGGTGCCGTACAAGGTTTAGGGCTCAGGTCTTAGGGGTTAGGGTTTAAGGGGTTCAGGGTTTAGGGCTCAGGGGTTAGGGTTTGAGGGGTTTAGGGTTTAGGGCTCAGGGCTTAGGGGTTAGGGTTTAAGGGGTTCAGGGTTTAGGGCTCAGGGCTTAGGGGTTAGGGTTTAAGGGGTTTAGGGGTTTAGGGCTCAGGGCTTAGGGGTTAGGGGTTTAGGGTTTAGGGGTTTACAGGGTTGAAGATCCTACCCTGGAGTTCCAGAAACTTGCCGTTTGAAGGGCTCTACCGTTGAAGGTCATGTCCCAAACTACTTATGGTCCCCAATATAGTACGGCGCCCTTATAAAAAGGACCCCAAAAGGGACCCTAATTTGGAGAACTGCCCTACTGTTTTGTGGTAACAAGCTGAAAATGATTATCGACAGCAGTACGTGCCCACTTTATTTAATTTCAGAGCCCTGAATCCTGAACCCACAGCTCTGAACCCTAAACCCTACACCCTAGACCCTAAAACACTAAAACCTTAAACCCCTAAACCCTAATCCCTTAAACCCTCAACCCTTAAACCCTAAGCTCTGAACACTAAACCCTAAACCCTAAACCCAACCGCAAACCTCAAGGTTTCCTCAACGCGGAATCAAGCCCAACATCGGCCAAGAAATTTAGCAGCAAGGAACGTAGGAACGTCGGGAGGGAGGGAGGGAGGGAGGGCTGAGGAATAAATGCTAGCAGCAAGGACGGGAACATGGCTGCTTAGCGGAAAAGCCACATCGGCTGACGGCTTGAGCATCTTTACTCTTCAGTTGTGCAAGGAACGTAGGCTGAGGAATAAACGGATGTTCCTTACGATTTAGAGAATCAAGGGATGTAGTTGGCAGGTTATACATAGTGTTACAAGTACCTCAGTGCCCCCAATGTAGGCCCTGATCAATAAAGCTCTTTCTTTCTTACAGATGCTAATGTTTATCATCGTAAATCCTCCTTATAGCCCAACTGAACACCGACATACCCAGTCACCCCACACCTAAACTAGACCGTCTTACACCCTTCAGCGCTTCCCAAACTGTCCGCAGCCACCACACGAGGTACTGCTCGATGCAAACCTTTCCTGCCGGGATCTTCTGGGCAGGCTCACACACATGTGCTTGACTGGATGTTCGACCACGATCGGAGCATGTCAACATCAGCCATGCTTGATGAACCCCAAATCCACCCCCCCAAAAGCAAGGACCCAGAGAGCCCAATACCNNCTTACATCATAATATTAAGACCCCTAAAATTTAAGGCATAACCCTTAAGTAAGGGGTATTGGGCTCTCTGGGGACTACAGCATTGCGTGGGAAATGTCTCGAACCAGGGGCTCCCTGCGACATGTCGGATCCGTACCAACCAGACTCTCCCAGACACAGCCTGGCGTTGATACTTGAGACATGGGTTTCACACAAGTCAAGGCTGCTTCTGCTTCAAAAACTGTCCTATCCCACGACAATCCCTCTTGCGTTAATCACGCTAGAGTGCCCTAAACCCTAAACCCTAAACCCTAAATCGTACGACGCTTTAATCACGCTAGAGTGCATGCTCAGACCGCTTGGTGCCGCCTAGGTCGCTTAGGTCGCTGCGCCAGCTCTGATAACTTTGCCGCCTGTTCTGGCTCCGCAGGTGTCTCGATAGGATTGGCACGGTAATTCCGACGTCCTACCAATGGGACAGACAGAAAGCCAAGGCTGCTGCTCTAAGAGCGAGCAGCCGAGTGTAGAGCGGATTGAAGCTCAATCGCCTGCGGTGCTGTCACTTGATGAAATCCGACTGTCTAGCGATTGCGAGTCTGGGCAAAGGGCCGAACATGGGAACACGGATACTTCTAACTCTGATGCTGCAGCCACCATTCCGCCCGCACCGGAGAAAATGCAGCAGACCATGACTGCGAGAGAAGTTCCCCTCCTCGAGGCTCTTTCTGCCACGGAAACGCCGATGAAGCAGTACTTGCTAGATGGCTGTGTGGATGGCAAGCGCGCGGTCCGCCTCCTTTCCGGCCTCCCTGTAATTGCATGTCTCATCTTGTCCGTGGCAGCAGTCTCCAGCATGCCTTTTGTGATCCTAGGTTCTCGAGTAGTACCCTTTTGCCCTTTTTCTTTTTGGCTTCCCTTTTTCAAACCAAACAGGAGGAAAAAGGGTACCCTTTTTTTTGAAGGGCTGCTAGTGGGAACCGAGGATCCCACTAGCAGACCCCAATGCCGGGGTGTGGACCAACATTGGCTTCGTCTTCGGCGTCCATGGAGCCCTCAACTACCTGGCAGGGTACGGCGTCCTAAAGATGATAAGCCGGGCCTGCCCGGAGGTGGGTACCCATAGGCTCCTTAGTACTTCCTTTTTGGGATGAGCTCATTATAGGATTCTAAATATATAGACCACAAAAAGGAACTACTTAGGAGCCTGTGGGTAGTTTTCAAAGTCAGGGATTCTCTTGGATTCCCCAGTGGGGGAGTGTTGACCCCGCCTGGCTGCCTGCTCAGGTTTCTAGGCAGTCCCAAAAGAACCTCAAGCAGAGTAGGATCTAATTGGGTTTTGCTTTAGTGCAAGTCATTGCTCAGGCCAAGGACAAGCTGGAAGGAAAGTTCCCTGTTCTCGCCCTCATCTACCCCTTCGTTTGTGGCTCGATCCAGGTCGTCTTTGGCATTGCAGACATCTTCCCGATGCCTTTCAGCGCAGCGACTGCGTGTGGTGCGGCTACATTCCCCACCATGCTTGTGACCTTATACTGGATTCTGGGTCCTTGTTGGATACAATTTTACTTTTTTTGTTATAATACAACCCTAATAAGGATTAACAATGATCATTTTTAATAGGGCCCCAAGAGAGAACCAGGATTCCTGAGCACCGGCGCAGCGTCTTTGCAACTGCAGCACATGTGGGCCTGAGTTTGGGACTGATCGGCATCCAGGCAGTTGCCCTAAACCCTAAGCCCTAAACCCTAAACCCTAAGCCCCTAAACCCCTAAACCCCTAAACCCCTAAACCCTAAACCCCTAAAGCCCTAAACCCCCAAACCCTACATCCACCCATCCAGGCAGTTGCTTTGGTCCTTCAGTGGAGATCCTTTCCTCACGTCGATGCCTCAACACAGATTTTCCTTACTGTGCTTGCGGCAGGCGTGACCTTTGGACTGTCAAAGTTCGTCGTGATATTTGGCGTGAGGTTTCTGGCTCTTCCAAGGAAGTACCTGGAAGAGAATAAGATCCACTATGCATTCCAGTCCTTCCTGTTCTCGGCATTGCTGCTGTCACAGGCAAAATCTGCGGCATCGGTGCTGGTGAGCCTTGCATGTTCTCGGTAAGTCTTTGCACAGGAAGTTTTTGACAACCCAAACGCGACAAGGAAGAAGCAGGACTCTCCGAAGCCACGAACAGCCTTCATGCAACAAAGAATACCACCGGTTTTCCATGTGACGTCAACCGCTTGGAATCAACGATGACGACACAAGCGTGGATGTGATGCGAAGAGCAAGAGTTTCACAGCATATCAACAACGGCCCAAGAAGAACTGCATCACGGGGTTTCATGTCAATAACTTCACATGGACGACTCATGGGTTTTTGGGGGCCACACCCCAAGAACGAGTTACACGGGTCTAGGGTTCAAGTTGACAGGCGGATGGAAACTCTTGAGGCGGTCTGATGGTGCTGGGGCCCACAGTGTATGCCACCAACGTTTTTGTCGCAACAAATTCTCAAAATAGTCGTAGGAACCATGGCTGCTGCCACATACCGTGAAACCCAACACACCCCTAGGGTCGCTAAGGCTACACTCATTCGAAATTGATTTTTCCTGTAAAGGAAGACCTCTCAAACTGTATCTGCCGGATTGTTCAGCTGTCCATATGGCAAGCTTCTTAATCTCTGCGAGGATTGACTCGGCTTTTATTTTTGACACTTGCAACTTCTCCTCAAGAAGACACAGTAACGAATGGTTCGGAATGATCTTCCTCATCCCTGAACCCCAAACCGCCCCAGACCCCCAGGATGACATGGAACCAGGCTTAATCCATACAGGACTGTGGAGCCCATGAGCTGGAAATCGTAGAGAACCCCCCCC